TTTTTTTTTTTTTTTTTTTTTTTTTTTTTTTTTTTTTTTTCCTATACTCCATTTTCTGAGATTATTTCTGCGGTCTGTGAGACCAAGACAGCTTGTATTCGATGGTATTTGTGGTGATCACATTTGAGTGTTTCACCCTAACAATTTGATTCTGTGTCACGGTAGGGAAGCACGAGATTCAAGACTGGAAATCCAACTCTGGGTGCATTTCCTCACGCCTTTCCCCTGTACCTTGGGAGCCCAGTTGGTATCTCACAGATGCTCTGAGTTCGGACACCTGACAGGACTTTTCCAGCAACTGCCTGTAGTTGTTTTGTCTTAAGGCCAAGGCTGCTGTGCACGCAAAGCTTGATTGAACAGTCAGGAGGGAATGAATAGGGTGGTTGGCGTCAAGGCAGGTGTTATGAAACAGGCTCGGGGCACGGGGGAGGAACTGTGGCCATGAGCAGAGCCAGGACAGCTCCATGGGAGAAGGACGTATCGATGGAATTTTCATCTACTGAGAGAGGACGCCAACGTAAGATGAGAATGCTGAGATGTTGAGGCACGTGATCTATTCATGGCACATAAAGGCCGCCGTCGTGTTCAGCAGACTCAGAGCATGAGGCTGGAGTAGTGGCAGCTGACTGAGACACGTAGTTTCTTCCCAAGATGAGAACATGACTTCCGATGACGTTGGGTGTCTCTTCTGGAATTGTCCTCAGGGGAGAATTGTTTTGGTCACGCGATAATAGCCAGATATCTGCCTGCAGGAAGTAATGCCGTCTTTGTGTAAACCCTCAAACGTGTCCTCCACTGAATAAGTAATTCATCGCCTTTTTATCAGGCTTTATTGTTGCCACATTGACCAAGATGATCCCTGTGTTAGAATCATAGAACGGTTTGGGTTGGAAAAGACCATTAAATGGCATCGAGTCCAACCCCCCTGCAATGAGCAGGGACATCTCCAACGAGTTGCTCAGATCCTCGTCCAACCTGACTGAATGTTTCCGCGGATGGAGCACCTACAACCTCTCGAGGCAGCCTGTGCCAGCATCTCACCACACTCATCCTAAACATTTTCTTCCTTCTCTCTAAGTCTGAATCTACTCTCCTTTAGTTTAAAACCGTTACCCCTTGTCCTATTGCTGGGCCCTATTAAAAAGTCTGTCCTCATCTTTCTTATAAGCTTCCTTTAAGTACTGGGAGGCCGCTCTAAGGTCTCCTTGGAGCCTTCTCCAGGCTGAACAACCCCAACTCTCCCAGCCTGTCCTCACAGGAGAGGTGTTCCAGCCCTTTGATGTTTTTTGTGGCCTCCTCTGGACCCGTTCCAACAGGTCCGTGTCTTAGAGATGGACGTGGAACCTGCAAGGCTGTTACTAATCAGGGGTTTATACGGATCTTGAGGAGATACTGACATTTGATGCGTAGTTGGGTCAGAAAGAACGTCTTCTGCACTACCTCCCTTTTACGGGCCACGTCGCGCCATGATGACTTTGTAAGCTTCCATGGTGGTTATGTGAATTTGAGAGATTCATACTTTTGGGAATGGGGAGGAATTTGCTGCAGAAGCTTTTCCAGCGTGGGATGGAAGTAATATTCATGAGATTTACCTAACAGGATGCTCTTCTGATACAGTATGTTATGGTACGGTACAGGATATCCTTCTGCCAGTGTTTTGCACCTGATTTATCTGTTAATAAAAATCTCCTGAAGACCTGAGTGATGTTTTCAGAAGACTCTAACACGGTAGAGAAGTTTATTCTAATGAAGACTTTGTGCACGCTCGGAAGATTTGGTTGAGGGAAGCAATCAAGACAACGCTCAAGGCGTTTTTCTGAGACGTGCAATTCACAGCTGAGTCCTGAATTTTAATAGTAAAGGAAGTCCCAGGCAGGTAGAAAAGGTATCGTTGACTCATGTGTGTGCTATTTTAGGTATGAAGCTTTTAAGTTGTATGCTAACGCCTGGGTTTCATTCCACTGCTTGTAATCCAGGAATGCTGCATATGAAAATGTCGGCTCACATAAAAATAATTCACCTATTTAAGGGGTTTTCTGAAATTTTAGTTTTAAGATTGGTAGTGGAAGGAGATGTTTCCTGCTGTTCAGAGAGTAGCGAATTCCTCTCGGTATTTATTGAATTACCCACTTCAGTATCGGGGAAATGTTCCTACACATCGCATGGAGAGGTGTGGTTACAGATGATGGAACTATGCACGCTTCATTTGAGTTTTATTTACCTTAACCATTTAGTTTTATAATAAAAATTGAGCTGACTGAGGCAGATGATCCATCGGTGCAAGAAGGGATCATACTGCTCTGCTCGCTCTCTTTAGACACGGTCTGATTTATACCAATGGGAAGCATGGCCGGGCAGCTCTTTGCTTCCCAAATGTTCTGCTGCCCTACAGAAGCACGTCTGTAGCCAGCAGGAGCCCGGGGTGAAGGCACAGAACGTGGCACCACGACGAGGACAACCGAAAGACAAGATTTTTGCATTTTGCTTGATGCTAAGCTTTATTGTCTACAAGTCAAGAGAGAGAAAACGCAGAATGATCCCGTTAACAGCAAAGGTATCCCAGGTCCCATACACCAAGAAGAGAATGAACAGCCCCACTAACAGCTGAATTTACAGAATCTAACAGCTCTTTGCCTTACGCAACGGGTCGTGTATTCAAGTGCATTGCAGGTGTTCAGTGATTAAAGGACAGAAAGAAGAAGACAAGTTTGAAAAGAAGAAAATCTCTAGGCGTTTACTCCATCGTGGTGTGACCCGGCAGCAAAGGCGCAGGTTTTCATCTCCTTGTGCCTGTTCTTGCCCCACACCAGAGACGGGAGCCAGCAGAGCCGCTTTTGCCACCCGGACTTGGCTCAGCAACGCTTCTTGATTGCGGCGCAGCACTGCTGGATGGGAATGCTGTACTTCCTCATGGGACAGCAGTATTGCACGGGGCTGCAACGCACCACAACGGGCTTCTTCACCACGCAGGAGCAGCAAGACGGGCATCCAGAGCAGCAGCAGGGGCGGCACACCTTGGTACAGCAGACGGACTGCTGGCACGGGTCACAGCAGGACTGCTGGCACGGATTGCAGCAGACGGACTGCTGGCACGGGTCACAGCAAGACTGTTGGCACGGGTCACAGCAGACGGACTGCTGGCACGGGTCACAGCAAGACTGTTGGCACGGGTCACAGCAGGGCTTCTGGCATGGGTCACAGCAAGACTGCTGACACGGGTCACAACAGACAGACTGCTGGCACGGGTCACAGCAGGACTGCTGGCACGGGTCACAGCAGGGCTTCTGGCATGGGTCACAGCAGGACTGCTGGCATGGGTCACAGCAGGGCTTCTGGCATGGGTCACAGCAGGACTGCTGGCACGGGTCACAGCAGGACTGCTGGCATGGGTCACAGCAGGACTGCTGGCATGGGTCACAGCAGGACTGCTGGCATGGATCACAGCAGGGCTTCTGGCATGGATCACAGCAGGACTGCTGGCACGGGTCACAGCAGACGGACTGCTGGCACGGGTCACAGCAGGGCTTCTGGCACGGGTCACAGCAGGGCTTCTGGCACGGGTCACAGCAGGACTGCTGGCACGGGTCACAGCAGACGGACTGCTGGCACGGGTCACAGCAGGACTGCTGGCACGGGCTGCAGCAGACGACCTTCTTCTGGCATGGGTCGCAGCAGGACTGCTGGCACGGGTCACAGCAGGGCTTCTGGCATGGGTCGCAGCAGCAGGACTGCTGGCACGGGCTGCAGCAGACGATCTTCTTCTGGCATGGGTCGCAGCAGACCGTCTTCTGGCACGGCTGGCTGCAGCACACCGTTTTGCTCTTCACGACGGAACAGCATCCCGTGGAGCAACATCCGGTAGAGCACATGCTGTTTATCGTGTAGTCGAAGCTGGAAGGAGCAAGGACCTGAAACACAGTGAACTTTCAGCTACAGCCCGTCTTTCCAACTGCATCGACGTGTTTTATATTGGCGTGTAAATGCCGCTCTCTAGGCCGTATCACACACTGCGCCCTGACTGGCATTGCAAAAAAAAAAACCAAACCCCCCCAAAAAAACCTTACAGGAATCAAGTCTCCCATCGCTATCCCAACAACATTTGTGCATCTTTTGAACTATCCTGGGAACTAAACTCATCCATGAAGATCACTCCCTGAATTTCTATCCCAAGAAGTTTGTTTCCCACCGTGCTCTCTCTACCAACCGTCCTTTGCAATGAGCAATAAACCAAAAAGCCTGGGGAAAAAAAAAAATAAAATCTGGAATTTCAGAGTGAGCTGTACATCATAGAATCAGAGAATAATTTGGGTTGGAAGGGACATTTAGAGATCATCCCAACACCCTGTGAAGATCAGATGCAAAGACATTTTTCGGTTCGTTGCTCGACGAAAAGCAAATGAGACCCGTTCCGACCAAGGAACACCGCTAACAGCTTCACACTTACCGTCCGAACTGAGCGGTGCAGTTGAGTGAGGAGCAAAGGACAGGGAGACCTTTTATTCAGCTCAAAATTGTCCTGCCGGAAATGAGGTACCCCACAGCAATTTGTGATTTACGCACTAAGCCTATACTTATTTGTTGAATGCGCCCTTCATCTATTGAGTCTTTGCCTCGCTGTTTTTGACCAACCCCTCAATTTTGTGTCATTATCAATTTGCTCCGTAAATTTTTTACAATTTTTTAATGTCAAGTTAATTCTCGTGTGATGCTTGTGAACTGCTTAAAAGGTATGTTTCTGCTCATTTTGCATATGGTAATGCCGTTGCAGTGAGATAGTAGGTGGCTTGTTCACAGCTAGTGAATGCTCAGTTAACGTAAAAATCGTAATTAAGGTTGAGGAGCAGTGGATTCCAGAGGCATGCAGAAGCCTTCTGGACGTCAGTCGCTCCTCAATATGATTTAAAAAAAAAAAAAAAAAAA